TTTATATGGGCTTAACTTTCCATTCCTTGTATTGCAGATAAAAGTATGAATAAGTTTAAACATTAATTATTACCGATAATTACGAAGAATTTAATAGATTCAGATAGCTGCAAAACCTTTTTCATGTAAGTAAAATTTAATTTAAAAAAATATCGAAACAAAAAGTAATCCACTCAATTAAAAAAAGAGAGTTGAAAGTAAATACAATGTAAAAGGTAATAAAAAACACATAAACAATGTAATCTGAATAAAAAACAGATTAGAAATTTAATGCCTAGAAACGGTTAATTCAATGATGATAAACTTGCAAGTGTTATGGAATGCTAAACCCATTATAAGTGATTAATTGAAATAAATCTCTACCTTTAAATGAAGAAGTATTTGCGTACAGTAATTGGTGAGTAAGTGAGCACATGCCAGGTGTAATGTTTTAGATGTAGACTAGCGGTGAGTTTGTGAGAAAATGTTTATATTTATGAGCCAAGGAACTTGAGAGCTTAGAAAATAATTATATTGACAGAGACTAGAGGCTAATGCGATGTGATTTTCGGATTAAAAACGTATAAGTGTGAGTCTGACTCGTGCAAAGAGGGATCCATTCCTTTATGCGAATAGTTTTTCTAATCATAGGAATAGAATCTCGAAGATTTTTACCGCTTTTGACGAGAATCTTAAAAAACCACCTACTAGTGTATATGGCTTGAATGACCATTTCTTTTAAGTGCGTTTACTTAGCAGCTTGATTGCTTTAAAGCTTAAAATTACCGCAGATATAAATAAATACTATTTTTTTTTCTCTTGACGGAGAAAAAACAGAATCTCTTTTAAAAAAACGGAATCCCAAAAAATTATATTTTGCACCTGTTTTATATTTGAACAACTTAATCGTTTTTTTTTGTCTTTTGACTTGACGTCTTGTACGCATACAAGACAGTTGAGGATTTAATCACGATAATTTAGTGACTTATTTGCCATACCTACTACTTAATTCCGATTGTGCAACTACCGTAATTCACACCGATTGTATCGCCTATGTTTATGATTAAGTATGGATGCGTGTGTGTATGTGTGTGTGTGTGTGTGTGTGCGTGCGTCTGTGTTTGTGTGTGAGTGGGTATGTGTGTGTATGTGAGTGGGTATGTGTGTGTATGTGTGCGTAAAAGTTTAAAAGCCCTTGAGAAGAGAAGTTATTAAGAGATGAGTAGTACATCATCTACCATGGTCGCTCAAGCGGCAACTTTCTCATGAACGTAATTTGATTGATTTTCAATTGTATTACCATTACTTACGTTTGAAAGTGCACTGCAATAGGCATACTCAATAAATGTATTTGAGTTTGAGTAAAGTATTTGATGAGTTAAAAATGTGACAGAATTGTTTTTCTTTTGTTAAATCAATTATTTTAATTTCAGAATTCAAGTTCATTGGCAAAAAAATATAAATAAATAATAATGAATTGTTTGAAATATGCTGTAAATTCCTTACTGCTAAGAAATAATAAAAGAGTAGATGAGACTCGAAATAGTTATAATCTTAGTTTTAGCGTTCAGAAGTAGAAATATACATGGAAATCCAAAATACCTGTTTCACAATTAAAGCATTATGTTACTGTTGTGCAGTATGCAGTGATGGTTGTATGACATATGATAATTTTCAAATTTAGGACAAACGTTTCTTTTTTTCATTTCAGATGTTGTGGTTCAAAGTCGAAAATAATAGAAAAAAAAGTGTGTGTAAGTCACGGTCACGATACGTGCGCACAAAAAACGTAACGAGGTCATTCGATCACTAAATTTTACTCTTCATATTTTTTTCATACCGGGCGACTTATATGAAAGTCTTCTGGATTCTTAAGGAGTAAACTCCAAAAACATCTGACTTATCACCTTTCATATGACAGTCAACTGTTAATTAAAAAGCGCCCGCTTCCCTAGATTCTTGTTACATGTTTCGGTCCTTTCTCACTAAATCACTTCCACAGATTGCAGAATAGCTTGTCATTCGGATGTCAATTAAAATTATCGGCCGATTAAAAATCATCATTTGCCATACAAACATAGAAATATTTAAAAAAGTACCTATAATAGGTACGAGTGTAGAAGTACATGATAGTATGTAAAATGGTTCTTTTGTGTCATTTAAAATTGAAATTCGGAAATAGATGAATTGAGTTTTGTTAAAGTGAAAGAAAACTGATAAAACCTAACCTAATAAAGTCAGGTGTACACATCATTCAGCAGTTAATCAGTTTTGGGACACTTTTCGAAATTTGAAAAATTCGAACACTTTTCGAAATTTGAAATGTAAAAAATTTTAATTAACTCTGCTATATCGTATGTAGAAAGAGAAAGTTAAAATATGAATACTGCATAGAAAGCAAGACGCATCGTATGCATGGTGAAGTACGTCAGTTCATTTTGTACGTTTATATTCTAACCCGGTCCCATGCAGGCGTTTATTTTATCTGTTTTTTTTATTAAATCGTAGATCGTTTCTACTCGTTTTAAATATTAATATTTTTTATCATATTTTAAAATCGGACCGCTACCACGGGTGTTACATACATTTTCACAACCTCTCATTTTTATTTAATTAAAACAAGTTTAAAATTGGCTGAATAACCCGTAGCCGCGGACCAATACGAACATTAATCCGTTAAATTACTTGTTAACAAAGACCCTAGTTCGTTTTTTTAATTCTCCTTTACAATAAACATCTCAACTTTTATTCCTAAAATTCAACTTAACTCCAATATTTATAAACCCTATTTTTGGCACTAATAAATCTAATTAAATATATAAAAGAAATTGAAAATATAAATAAATTATTTAACATATTTATCATTATAAAAAAAATATATAAAAGGGTTTATGAAGTTTAAACGATATTAAATACAATTTAAAAAGAGAAATTAATTAATAAAAAACATTTGTCAGTACCAGTGTTTAAATAAATTGTGCAAAAAAAAAATCTCAAAAATCTTGGGCACATTTTACAAATTAGGTTTGATAATTATATATTTTCAAACACAGTTAATGAACTAGATGATAACCTTTTTTATAAACCACTTAATTGCTAAGCCGTTTAGAATTCCTCTGGCTTTGAAAATATTGTACTAATAATAAACTTCACTTTACACATTGTTATTAAATAAATACAAAATACTGCGAAAGTACACAAAAATGCGTAATTTTTATATCTACTTTTAAATGAGCTTCCTTATAAATAGCATTATTTCTTTTATAATTTTAGCTTAAATCAAAGGACACGACATTTACTAGGCTATCACGACATCTATAAGAGCGAAATTGAGGAACGGACATAGATAAAGATTTTAAATTGTTTATTTTTTAAATAATACAACTATTATATAGATGCTACAGTATGTGCTAAAAGGTTCTAAAATCGAATAGACACGTGACGAAACAGAATCGAGAACATTTGATTTCAATTAAAAAAGTTTTTTTAATCAAACGTTCGTCGGTGACACATCATGTCATATTGGGCGATCGTTTTAACTTGACTCAAGTCGGTAAACATTGGCTTATTCAGTAGAAATTCTTAATAATATCGAACGAATCTCTTGTAATAGTATAATACCGACGCCCAATAGCACTGTGTATTATTACTACGTGTGAAGAATGCATATTTTAGTCTTTTTTCCGTTTTTTTTTTTTACCTTTATATACAAATACACATGGCGATAATCTGTATGTACATTTTATCGATATTTTTTTCTGTAGTAGTTAGTAACAGCAGTTTTTATATTTCTGCTAAGCATAACATTTTCTAATTATCAACAGAAACCAAGATCTAAATAATTTACTATTTTGTTCGCTAAAGATTTATTCCCATATCGATGTACTAAAAGTATATTAATTTTATTTTATCGATAGACAAGTGAACATTTATCGATACAAGAGTTCAACGATTACGTTCTTCATTTATTATTTAAAATCTATCATGTATCTCGTTACGTTTAAGATGTTTTAAGTCGGTCCTAATTATTTTATATCAACACCTCAGAAGCTAGACCTATTCTATCTTTGGTTCCATTTTAATTGTTGATTTCTTATCAATTCCACAACTGTTTAACAATTCCTGGATTTATTTTTCATAGTCAATTTTTAAATATTACAACTTTACACGCTCCGCCGAGTTTAAAATATCAATCTACCTAAATTGATACTTACCGATTAAAATCGATGTGTATTCATTTAGAAGAAGCGATTAATCACTAATTCTAATATCAAATGTAAATAATCTTAAATCAAAAAGTGTCTATTCTGACTTGACTCTACAGATATTTGATCCTTTATGTACATTACTTAATACTCTAAAATTTTACTTTAGCCCTGTGATCCCTCATTACAGTCATGTAAAAGGGCACATATTTAATTTGTTCATCCGATTTGCCTTTTTTTATTTATACGATTAGATCAACTCTTTATTTATCGTCCGAATGTTACCAGGAAAAATTACGCAATTCTTGTTTCAAATTAATACAATTCTATATTAGAACGCATCTTGACCTTCTATCCATTAAAACTTTATTACTTTTCGTTTAAAACTTATTATTACTTTATTATGATTTTGATTTTTTAACAAATTATCCACACCAACATTTTTTTATCTGTAACATCCAACATCACATTTTTTTATTATTGTTAATGGTAATTTCATTCAATGCAAATGATATTTATATCAATCGTTTAAAATGATTCTTGGTAACACCATAACTTCTCCAAAAAAAAAACACAAAACATTAAAAACAGTACAGATTAAAAATACACTAAAATAACCTTTCTTGAATTGAAATCACCTTTAACATTATGCTTAGCTAATGTATGTTAATTTATTTTATGACATTGTTCTGCAGACGTGTGCGCTTTAACCACGTATTTAATTCAATAATATTATAATTATAATTACATTTTTCAATCTAAAATTTAGTTCTCTCAAACTTGCTCCTGGTTTACCCAGAGCAATTAGGTCTTGGGTTATTGAACGATGATATGCGGCGCCGACAAAAGGACAGCCACTGTCGCAATAATTGTGAAAAGTGTGAACACGAACAGGCAAAACCTGAGGACAAAGAAAACAGAGCAATATTAAAACGTTTATTACCCATTTCCCGAACCTTTACTAAGCTGTTAATCTAAAACAGAAGCGTAATATTTAATAACTTTAACTCTTAAGAACTAAGTTACAAAATTTAAAAAAAAACTTCTATTATACGAAAATTCACCAAAAGAAACAAACGCCTCAATATTTCTGTATAAGTCTTTAAAATTAAAACGTATTTCTTAGTAATAGCTCTAAAGATTTGGCTCTCAATTTTCTCAAAAGAATTCATCGTACGATACTCGACTTCACTTACTCAGTATAGATCATCATCATCATCATCAACAGCCTTTAATGGTCCACTGCTGGACACAGGTTTCTCCTTAGAAAAGAGGTTTTGGCATACTACACCACACTGGCCAGTAAACAGAAAAAAAAGAAAAACTAAAAAATTTAATTAAGATTGTGTCTATGTTGTCATCTTTTTTATAACCTCTATGGTAGTTTATACTCTGCCTACACTTTCCTCAATAGATCAAATCTTAATGATTTGGACGGCCGTGAAAAATAAAACTCTCAAATTTAAACGTATAAGCTCAGAGTACGAAATTATTTCGAGAAGATGCAACGCTGCACTGTAGACTATGACGTCGGCATCTTTTTTCATTCTATCTACTATACTACTATAATAAAAACATGGCTGACATACAAAGTTCCGTACGTAGATCGGCGTGGGAGCTTGTATGGCCATAAAACACGAGCAGTTTATGAGCGTTTTCACTTCTAATTAAATTTTGTACGGCTGCTAAGGTAATTTAATTTACTTAGGGATACCAAAGGCTTTCGTTATTTATTACAACACTTCGCATCCTTGCAGGTATTAAACCGATAAATAGCCACGCTTATATGTTATTTATATAAGTAATTTTAACTTGTGACTATAACATAAATTAATTGCAATACAAAATCTGCAAAATTTTCATTTAGATAGCTTACTTGGACAGCTTTATTAATGAATTATTTTCTAATCAATGAATTATTCAAAACAATTAAATGCTTGAAAATTAAATAGAGTTTATATTCATATATTTTCAGGAAAACAACTTTTTTTTGCGCATTCAGCTTTCACAGTCATTAAAAAGACATTTTAAAAATAGGAGTTACAGTTAGAATTGATAATTAAAATATGTCTTTAGTTGATATTTTTTATAATCGCTAAAATTTATTCACAGGTAAAAAAATAATATACCTGTATTTTTTATAATCCTGCCTTATTGAACACATCGTGTAATCGTGGTAAATATTTTCTCTAATATGATTTATTTAGTAACAACACAGAAAATTCCTGGTCGACGGTAATAAGTTCATCCTATATTACTGAATTCAAAGATTTGACTGGCAAAATGTTAGAGTGTTATACCTCTGCTTATCCCTTTAAGAAAATATAAGCGTGAACACATAAACACTTATTATAAAAAATAAATTTCGTCCATAAATACTGTGTGAGATGCTTACCTGTCAACAACCATCGCAGCAAACTTCCAATCGCTGATTAATTCAGCTTCATCGTCTGCCTTTTTCATTCTCGCAGTAATGAACTGCAACTCTCTCAGTATCAAATGGAGTTCCCTGTGGTGACTCCCTAGTCCTCCACCCACGTCCTCCATCGTAGATGGACGGACGAACGACCGACGGAAATCCGTACGGAATATAGAGCACCTAGAGGAATAAATTGTGATTGGAAACTTGGTATTTGCATCTGAATGTTAGATGAGATTTAAGTAAATGTTGATTTTTATGAAAATGGCGAAAACATTTTCCTGAAATCTAAATTTATAGTAAAACAGAAACTAATCAAAATATTAGTACACATCACATCATATCAACAGCCTTTAATAGTCCACTACTGGACATAGGCCTCACCTTAGGAGGTTTTGGCCTACTATGCCACGCTGGCCAGACGGATTGGTATAGGGTTTGTGTCAAGTTTTTCTGCTCTTTGCAGTGCTGTTCTCCTGCGTAGTTTGCTCCTTTAGTCGCCTCTTACGACACCCACTTGATGAATAGGAGTGATGACACTCTGTATTCTTAATCCGTCACCACACGGATAAATATTGGTCACTATGTCTTATATATGAAATTTAACAGCTTACCCAGGCCCTAAATTCCCTGTTGATGCTGTACTATTCGGCGGAGGAGGCACGTGTCTAAAATCATCGTCTATATCTAAGACGTTCGCTAGAAGAGACTTTGAAGATCTCTCTTTCAGTTCTAGTTCTCTCATCCTATTTGACATCATAATTGTCTTTCTCGTTATCTTCTTTCCTGGTCTCGACATGCGGAGAATCCATGGCAGCCATTGCAGGAAAACTGATTTTATCTGTTCAGATGTAACTATCTGTAGTTTTTGCTGTTTTAGCAAATGCAACATTTTGAAAGCTTTTTGTAATGAACTTACCCACTGTGGCATTTCATGTATATCAGCGGTTCGGTGATGGTAATTGAGTACAACTACTGTCAGTACGACAGAAGAAGCAACCATGAACATAATGCAGTTGAAGTACGTTCCTGTTACATACAATATCTAGTTTTATATTCTGATAATAAAATTTAAACATAAAACATATTACAGATCACCTAAAGAAAGTTGAAAGATTTTATTACAGTTGCGAACAAAATATTTGAGTTAAACACAGTTAATAAATTTGGATCAACTATATTATTTAAATTATTTATTTTTAGGTATTAATGGAATAAAACTTTTCATGCAATTTATTGGTATCTTAGCTTTAAAAAATGGGACATAGAAATGTAATCAGGAACCAAAATGATAAGAAGGCAATTAAGTACAATTTTTGTTTGAGATTTATTTTTTTAGATTACATTTTAAGTTATAACAACTCGTGGTTCATAGCCATATCACACAGGTAACTAATTAACAATGACACAGAAAGCCACATTCATGCATTTTAATTGTACATGCGGTGTTCTAATCTACATTTAGATGAGTTTTAGCTTTTACGCGTTATAAACGCGTTTATATTTTTATGATATTTATTTGAAAGACAGATTTTACAAAGTAATGAATAATAAATATAACGAATTTTTCATCATGGTTTTCTTTATAACCTCTTTTCATTGGCTTTTACGTGAAAGTGTTCGGTCTTTTAAAACCACTTGAGTATAAAGCTAAAGTTTACTTGATCAAAAACAAACGCTTTTTCTTCAATATTTAATGTCTCTCATAACGAAATATTGTTTGTTGTCTACAATTTTAGTAAATTAAATAGTTAGTAATGTTACCAGAGATATAACATGTGACAGAGGAATTCGTTGCTGCTTGTGTCTTTAGATGCCTTTAATACGCATGTCTTGTTATATATTACAACAATAAAAAACAAAAACAGACTAAAAGAACAAAGATATAACTCAACAAACACCTTTGTCAACGTTTCAATAAGTTTATCATTTTGTCAATTACAGGGATGTAACAGACCCGACAAAGTTGAGATCCGAAGTTCACGAGATACTTGGAGGCTGGACCCTCACTACCCGCATCCACTTTGTTGCTTTAAACTGTTGTTTAACTTTAAATCCTGCTTTTAAACTACAAGCAATTAAGTATTTAGAAATTCATTTATTTAAGGAGAGTAATTCAATTTCATTGTCTGTTAATATTTTTACAATATACTTTAAACATCATGCTTGAAGCTGACGTCTGTGGTCGTGTCATATCTACGAAGAATAATCAGTTTGAAATAAATAATGAAATGAATAAAGACTTGTAAATGAAATTCGAAGAAAACAGACGATTTTTTTTGAAAATAGGTCCTTTCAATACATTACAAGAAGATTCTATGCCAGTGTATTGGTAAATTACATTAAGACAGACTTTTATATAAATTATAAGCTACTTAGTTCAATAGCACGAGTTGAAAGTGCAAAAACTCTATTTCAAGTGTCGAGAGAACCGCAAGAGCGCTGTAAAAGCATAGATCAGTCTCCAAAGACCGCGAGACTAAAATGCAAGTTGGAAACAAAAAAAATAAGAAACTATACGCTCTCCTTTAAAAAATAAAATCAGGCAAAAATATCTATTTAGATCTTTGTTAAGTTGGTGTTTCATGAATGAGCTGAAGGACATTTTAAATTCAAGTTTTCAAATGTCTTTCAAGCTTCATTCCCGTTTAAAATACTATTCATCGTTTTTATTTAGTTATGTAAACAATATCGAAATACGCGTGGTGCTTTTCTCACCTATTAGGGGGATAGCCTCAGAAGTTTTTGTGATAACGTGTCCCACCAATAGAGAGAAAACAGTTTGCGACAGGAGAATTGTAACACCTGCAAAGATCAACATAAACTATAAACAAAAAGATAAATTCTATTGTTACTATTCTATTGTTAAACCTATTACACCATCCAGTTTATATAATCGTTGGTATGTTATCTCGTCCTGTTCGTGTGCTGAGTCGGTATCAGGAGCTCAAGTGAAATCATAAACGAAACATAAGGATAGTCATGCAAACATCATTACAGAGGGTTTTTATTATCGCTGGCTTTTATCATTTATTTTAGTTTTAATTTATTTTAGGATACGGACTTTTCCAATTTAAGCGCTAAAGTTATCCACCCTCCAAGTATCCAGAGACTTTTGGTGAAGTTCTTAATTCAAAAGAACAAATACATTCAAAATAAACATCTAAACAGAAAGTTCAAACACCATGGAATCGATTACGCATCAAACAGTTCTCAAATAAAAATAGACAAAACATCAATAAATACTTCAACATTGAGAATAAAAACATCGCAACTTACCTTCAGCCTCCATAATTATCAAAAGGTCTTGACAAAGTTAAACGTCACATGCCATGCCACTTAAATCAGACAATTGATACAATCACAAAACAGTACATCGATTAAATAAACGAAAAAATGAACAATCGAGTGACAAAGCTTAAGCAAAGGACCACGGAATCGATTCCAAGATTTGTTAACCCAAAACAGTAAGAAATGACAAAAAGAAAGTTAACGTAACAATTGTACTTAGTGCAATATGCTTTACGTTTCAATAGAAATACAAATTCTTAAAACATCATTTGAGGATTTAAAACAGCAAAAGCGTTGTAATGTTATTTTAAAAATGATGTATGTACTTATCGATACACAACACAACTGTGAGCTTTAAACCACTAGCAACATTTAAAGTTGCCATGATTTTAATGACTTTTTAAAGTACGTAATTTACTCCTTGTAATTTTTTAAACAAACTACTTTTATACTTCATTTTTATTAAAAAGAAAGAGCTAAAAAAAAAGGAAAATATTGTGTAAATAGATGAACATAAATTACTAAGAGGTAATGACTATGAAGTAAACATAAATGTGGGAGTTAAGCGGGATGGACGAACGGTGTGGGTTAGGTTTGGGTAGTGTACCTAACAGGGGGATAGCGTCGGAGACCTGTGGCAGGGTCTCAGCTACCAGGTTGAGGAACACCGTCAGCGATAGAAGAATAGTGACTCCTGAAATCAAACACACTGTTAACATCCCTACCGATGCTACTTATTTTTTTCATCGGCCAACAAACCTTGTAAATCTTCCATCCTATTTTTTTCAATCCACTAAACAGCACACTGATGAATCAATTCAACCTGTTCTTATGTTAAAAAAACGAAACGAGCTTTACAATAGTCGATGTGTAATATCTGACCTTACATCTGATAGCCAACTCTAGTACCACATGTTCATTAGTCAAATCAACAAGATAATTAAAAAAAAAAAAACTCGACTGCAAAAGGACAATTTAAAAGTGCACTAAAAAGACCTAGACGGCACGAAGCCCACGAGACGGTACGAGGTCCGGCACAAACACGGCCCATTTTTACGCTATCAAATTTTTTAAACCTTATTTCATTTAAATATATACGAGTAACTTACAAATAATTTTCGTAATCCCGCTTTAATTTTCTTGATTTTGAAGCCCTACTCGATACTATTTTACGTTAAAATCCGTTTTTTTTATATCTGCCAAAAAGGGGTCGTAAGACACTTAGGTTTTGAGAGGGATAAAACAATACCTTAACTGCCGAAATCCATCCAGCCATTTGAAAGCAAACAAACATACATGTTACCCTTCCTTGGCAGTTAGGTAAAAAGCGCGTGCTTCTTCAGAATTCTGTTACATACTTCCGTCCCTTTACATGAAATCACTACCACTCGCGAGAAAACTAGAGAAAACATGTTACACATTAAAATTCCTACAGAGTTACGCATGCTTTCGTTCTATGTTAAGGCTAACACATAATCAAATATATGTACCATATCGTAGGCAATAAAATATTCATTTAAATGCCTGCTGGTTTCAAACAGATCTTAAAATTTTATTACCTCTTTGGTACTTTTACGATACACGTTTATTATTTCTGATTGATTCTAACTTTTTTTCTTGCCTCAACCCTTCTGCATAAATAAACAGTCACAGTCTATTTTTGTTTTCGGTTATTGTGTTATGAGGACTTGCAATATAAAAGTAGAATGTTGTTTTATTTGTTGACAGATCAGGATTGCTGAGTTTATACCTTTCTAGGTAATAACAAATTACATACGAGTATGATTTTTTACTTCACTTTGATAATTACGTTGGTCGTTTTAAATGAAAACATTTAGCTAGCTCTTTAAATCTTTACTAAATAAAGAATGTTAAAACCTTATTTCCACTGACAACTCGGCCTACTATTGCCTATACAGGCGTAATTGTATAAATGAAAATTCTAAAATATACCTGTTATAATCTCTCTCAAAATAATATAATATATATACGCCAATATAAAACGTGAAAATGTGTTTCATTTTTAATACTGTTTTTTGATTTTTATTTTATTTGTAATTTTTTGTAATTATTTGAATTCCTATTTTGTAATTATTTGATTAAGTAGTGCCTCAATTGGGCTCAATAAAGGTTTTATCTTTCTTCCTTTCATTGAAACAAATACAACAACATATATCAATCAATATAAGAATCCTCTAATTTACCAAATTATTTAGATTTGTAAAGTAATTACAGAATATTTAAATAAATAATCACAAAATTTTGCAAATACATTTTCAGAACATTACTCAATATAGTTGCAGGTTACCCTCACACAACTACTAATAAGCTAACAGTAATGAAACAGCTTCAGAAGTGTTCAGAAATATCTCAACCGTAAATGATGTTACAAATCAAAGCTTACTGAACAAGGGCAATTTTCTAGTCTGTGTAGTAATAATTTTAACGCCTCCGTCAGACGTTTTCTCATTAAATGTAAGTAGGTTCTTAGTTCCAGTAGAGCTACTTTTAAATACTGAACTTATTGCTCGTGATACAAATATAAAACTCTATTCTCCAACCCAAGAATAATCTCTTTATATTTTTTTAATTTTTTATAATAGTTGTCTGAATATTCAATTTAAGAACATAACATTAAAATCATCAGTGATCAAAATTAATAATCGTTTAATCAAAATCTTCATAATCAAGTAAGTTGTGTGTATTTAAACATAATTTACAGTACAGGTGAATAGGTATCTAAGGGTGAACGTAAATTGCACTCGCATTTCTAACGATCAATGTTTATGATATTTAAATCTCTAAGATAAATTTGAACATACGTACAATTCAGGAACAGATAAAATTTTATTACCCACATCAGTGTACATCAACTCTTCAGCAGGTGTAAGTGACACCTGGTATTATATATTCATATGATATAAACATACACATTGTGGCATTTTCAAGATAAGAAAATGGAACACGATTTCGCCCCGTTCTTCCGTACCTCTCTTGCTCACTATACCTTTCGTATTATTAACTTGTCAACAAAGCAGATTTTCTTCAGACCCTCTGAATACAACAATAGCTGTAAATTATAAAGGAGTATTTCCATAATAAAAAATACTGACCGAGGGTTAGTTTTTCTCCGGAGTCAGGTGGCAACGTGAACCCAAGAAGTGCCATTGAGGATATGAGCACACAGGGTACAATCAAGTTAAAAAAGTAGTACAAGGTCCTTCTTCTGATCATGATGGTGAAGGTCACGTCAACGTAGGGTTCTGGGCAGCAGGCGTAGGTTATCGTGTTCTTTTTGCCTGGCATTCCTGCGAAATGGGAAATTTATAACAAATATTTTATAACATATGTACGTGTTATAAAAATTTAACACATATACACACATAACCTACTAACACATGCACAAATAATTTTAATTACAATTATCAAAAACGAAAAAAAAGCAAATTCAAAATAAATAAGTTCATCATGAACAGGAAAACAAATTTCATTACTGACAAAATTAGAAATTGTTTAATAAAACCAGCAACTTAAACAAATAACTAACATTTGTGAATAAAACTCACCTATCAAATACCACTCTCCATTTGTGATAAAATCAGAAAGGTCACCTCCTGCCTCGTCTTTTAGCACGAGATCCAACTGCCGGGGCAAACATTGTGTAGTCACACGAATACATACAAGATGCAAACCTAACCATGCAATTTTTAAAAGAAGAAGGGCCAATAACGGAAATTTTTCGCATTTTTATCATCATTCAGCTTGTTAACAAAATTGATTATCGTCGGGGAAGCAATTTTGAAATGAAATGGTTCATCACTTTTTTCCTCATTTTCTCTCTCCCTTTTGAATATTTTATCGGATAATCAAATTTCAGATAACTAACAAATGTCTTCGGGCTTATTAATAAATTTTGTGGTAATGGAATTTGTCCCGACAACATTTTTATCGAAAAATCCCTTTGGCTCTGCTTCTTTGATAATAATGTTTCATCATATATTTGTACATGTAAAGGGAAATGTGAGAACCTCTAATACAAAAAAGGGAAGGGATGCAAGAACATGCAACATACATTATTGAAGATACCACCGCCATACGGAATAAATAGGTCGACTTGTACGTACTACAGAAAATATCTAAAATGTACCTACTTGCTTCAGTCAACAGAACAGTAAAAAAATTGAAAGGAAAAAAATATCTATATTAAATACCTCATGCAAACTATTTGAGATATAACAAATTATTTGAGCATCTAAAGCAAACAAAGCAGGCTCTAAGTGATGTTGATATTTTACGTTTCAACTGATGTATATTCATTAAAGATGTACGCTTTACCTCACATGTATTTTTTTACGTAAATAGGGCTCCCAGTTAGTTAGATCCGAAACTAGTCATACATCGTGTGGGTAAACTCGTACGCCTTTGACAAATATATACTCATAAATTGTTAGTAATAGTTTGGTTTAAATAATAGAAAACTGAACATTTAAAGTAAAACGAAAATTAACATTGAAAACTCTAAACTACACAAACTATGAATAACAAATATCAAAAATACTTCTCATTATACTTTGCAAAACTACGACCAATTAAGGCAAATGATCCTATTTTCTCGAATGAACGCGTTCAAATTCAACATCTACTGATAATGGTTGTTATATAAAGTTAAGTTAAAGCAGGCTCTAAGTGATGTTGATATTTTACGTTTCAACTGATGTATATTCATTAAAGATGTACGCTTTACCTCACATGTATTTTTTTACGTAAATAGGGCTCCCAGTTAGTTAGATCCGAAACTAGTCATACATCGTGTGGGTAAACTCGTACGCCTTTGACAAATATATACTCATAAATTGTTAGTAATAGTTTGGTTTAAATAATAGAAAACTGAACATTTAAAGTAAAACGAAAATTAACATTGAAAACTCTAAACTACACAAACTATGAATAACAAATATCAAAAATACTTCTCATTATACTTTGCAAAACTACGACCAATTAAGGCAAATGATCCTATTTTCTCGAATGAACGCGTTCAAATTCAACATCTACTGATAATGGTTGTTATATAAAATAATAGAAGGACAAAGGCAAAGTTAGATTAAGTCTATAACAAACACATGGTGTGAAGCAAGAGTAATGAGCTCTGAGACGCGCTCACGGGCACTGCGGAATTATTCAAGAAGTTATCATTTACTGTTCAAGATATTTATGGCATACTTTCCTAATGAAGTTTCACGGATTTGCTTTTTATATTAAATCAAGGTAAATCACCACTTTTCGCCATAAATCATAATAAATACTTATTTTTAAGGTGTATAGTTATTTAAATATTACTACTTTTAACCAAAACTAAGCAATTTTTTCGAAAAATGAATATTTATTTTGCCAAAAGCAGATTTATAGATCAATCGCTGCTGTAGTGATAAACTTCCCGAAATAGTCCATTTAAATTTATTTAAATTTTTAGAACGAAACATTTCTAAGTCTAATGAATAAAATACATACATATATACATATTAAAAAAATACATACACAAACACACAACTTTACAACAGATACCATAAAAGAATTACGTTTGGAAAACTAATCTCATTACTCAATAAAAAATATTGAAGTGTCTGTAACTGTGCAAAACAATTCTTTCAATTTCTTTTATTCAGTTACGGATCAATAAACCTCTAGAGATTGTGTTGAATAACGTTTCAACGAAGTAACAAACAGTTAAATAATACTTATAAAATAATATTTTTCCGAAGAAAGCAAGTAAGAAAAGTGTCTAGATTATTAAGCATTTATTTTTGGTGAAATTTAACTAAGTTTTGTTTATGCAGTGATATAGTTACTTTTGTAATAAATCCCATGACTTACTCCGTTTTGTTATGATAAAATGAATTTATCCAGAGAATAAAAATATTAAAATATTTGAAAAACAAAACTTAGTACTTTTCAAGAAAATGATATGTTCATGTTGCCAATTAACAGTTATTTATCTAAAATTTACTGTTGTCGTAACCGTTAAGCTAAAATTTAAATATAGATACCGTTATAAAACGTTATTCAACATGGGCTCACGTTATTCAACATATACACAATAACAAATAACAACACAATAACGAATAACAACACAATATTAACTAAGTTTTCCGTATGGCGATTCAGTTTTATTATAAATACAGTGTGTTTAGTGCTTCATTTTGCTCCATGCAAAATAGTACATACAAAACTTAAAGGATATTTATAATATCCTTGGTTTCTCACATGGTTCCCTTATTAACCAATATTTTTCCTATCCTAATAGATAGTTATCCTATATACTGTAATAACTGTTTAGTTAACATATATACATATATGTTAACTAAACAGTTTTTTAATTTAACTGTTTCACCTACGAGTATCTCAGCGTTATTTCTAATTTAAGTCAATCTACCTAATTTAATACTTGTGTAATATAATGGAACTTACTGCGACCGTAATTATTTGCTTTGTCACGACTAAGGTGTGTTTATTTAGGTTTTAGAAATCGACAGTATTTCTTTTATTAACAGCTTCGGATTCACCTGAATATTTTTATTTGGAATTAAGACGACTTTTTAGTAGTTCTAAAAGAAAATTATATTAGCACTTTAATAAATGAGTTAATACAAGAATAAACTAAGTATCTAATTTAAATAATGTTTATCAAAAGTTTATAAGTTTATAACTGAAAACGGCTAGTATCTTTTGTGTTTCACAGTAATGTTATAAATAGTTATGTATAATATATAATAATTATGTTATATCATCGTATTACAATGGACATAATCATGTACTGTAAATTAATAGTAGGAACACGATTGTTAACAGTTTTCAGTTTTCAGGCACGATCTATATTTAACAGTCTAGACATACGTTACTAACAATTTGTCTAATGTATGTTTGTTATGTTTTTGTGTTGCCTAATGTATTGCTGAGTTAGAAAAACAATAAACTATGATTATTATTATACGAGACTAATCTGGCGAAATCCATACTTATATTTATTAGATGTAAAGGTGAGTTAGTATGTTTGTTTCTTACGCGTTCACGTCTAAACCAATAAACCGGTTAAAAAATCTTTCACTTATGGAAAGCTATACTATCAGCGAGTAACATAGCCTACGTTTAACCGATTTTTTACTCGATAACCGACATACATACACGCGGGCGGAGCTGCGAGCAAAAAGCTAGCTAAACATACTTATTTTCTTTGATTACTCACACGAGATAAAACTGGTTGCACATATATTTATATTTGAAGGGAATACTTTTCAACAAGATTAAGAAATTAAGGTCATGACATAGAGCAACTAGGAATATTTAAAATTGAATAGAATTAGAAGAAGAAATTTTTCCGTGAAAACAGCTACAAAAAGCCACATTTGTTCAGTCATTGTATGCTGGCTTGCCTATATATCTACTAAATATTATATTCTCTTATATGGTTCCCAGTGTGGTATTGATATATTACTTTACAAATTGATCATCCAAGGTAGGAATACCTTTCTGTGACTTTAATTATTAAATAGAAGTGAAAAGCAATGCTGTATTTTAAAGTGGTGATGAATATCTCAAAGTTTGTGACGATTATTGTTATTCAGTCATGCTAAAAAGGCTTATCAGATCTAATAAAAGACGCAAAGGTAGAATATAGTCTGGAATAGAGATATACTTTATAACATTTTAAAAAGGAGGCGGTTATCAATTCGTATGTTTATATTTTTTTATGTATGTTCGGTCATAACTCCGTCAAATATGGATGGATTTTTAAAATATATTTTTTGTTCGAAAGGGGTTTATCCCGAAATGGTTCCACTTAAATTTCATATCTATCTTATGATGAGTTTCGGAAACAGACAACGGAACTCTTCACAAATGACAGCAAATGAACTTTTACGGTTTTTAGTAGTCTTTGTTAGCATTGTTTGAAGCCGGTTCAGCTTTTTTAAAGGATTTATTTAAAAGTTAGTTTGCTTATATCATTCAAAGAGAAATGTAAAAAATATAGTATTTTCCATTTGTGATCACAAGAATAACAAAAAGTTTGAGTATTGCCCATGTTTAATAAATCTTAAGTTCCAAAGTAAACTAGACAGGTGAATCCGTAGTGTATGCCTATCTTAATATCTTTAGTAATTGAAGATAAAGAGTAAACAGATGTCAAACTAAGTAAACCTTTAGAAAGTGGTGTGAGTTAACTCATATCAGTAAAATAAGTCAACATCGTACAATGGCGTCTAAATATTTGTACGAGTTCTTAATAATTATGGTACTCGTTTGATAATTCATTTTAATTATTATCTGTTTTTTTAAAGAAGAGAATGATACCCAATTCTCGAGTGTTTTTTTTTTATTTGTAGGTCTGTTCCCATGAGTTTTACGTTGGCAGATATTTTCTTTTATTTTAAGACTCGTTCAGACTTTAAAACTAAATAAACCTTATTTACCATGTAAATATACATAGATTCCTAATAATTTTGTAATAAAAGAGGTTTTATTAATTAACCGGTACCGGTAAGGCTACCGGTACCGGTAAATTAATAAAGCTCTTTTATGAGTGACGTCACTCACTCGGTGAAAAGCAATGAGCAAGCATTAATTTTGCCTACCTACCTATAAATAAAATAGTTAGCTGAGGATCTAACTCAGTTGTAGTTATGCTGTCCTAATTATAAGACTTCGCTGATATGAGTTAACTATTAAATAAAATTGTATCGTAATAGAACTATGAGATCATGATACGCATTTGAGCGAGAAAAGTATGCCTGAGTTAATATATCGCTACCTGGTTGCCATCATATGTCCAGCTACCGAACTTCATGTCACAATGTTGGTCGTCGAAGGGGAACCAAGTGATGTCTATCTTGCATGTGCTCTTGAAAATGCCAGGGGGCACGTACAGGCAACTGCCGTTGTTTCTGACCACCACGTTGGTCTGGTACGTCCCGTCAAAACCTTCGTCAGCACTATACACCAATACAAACTCTATCTTAGCTATCATTCTGACATACAGATTAGATTTATATTTATGAATCATATCTGTATTAATCGAATAATCATTAATACTGAAGTCGATACTAGTTCTCAAATATCAGAGTGTTAAACTTTATAATTTGTCGATCAAATTACACAAGTTGTGATTGATTGAGTTTTATCGTATAAGAGTTTAGACTCTATTGTTTGTATAGTAAAGTAATGAATTACTTATCCACAAAAATAAAATAGAAATTAATTAACAGACCCTTATCCAAGCCAAACAATAGCAGTTGAATAATACGTAGTAAAAGTATTCTGTGATTGTCTTTGTAATTTAATTAATAAACCTTTAGACACAATGCGTATAGGTTTAAATTCTTAAAACCTAAATTGTAAAGTTTAAGTATATATTTATTTAAGATTGATTGATAATTCATATTATTTAAAAAGCTATAGCAAGGTGGCGTGAAAGAGAAAATTAAGAATCAAAGAAAATGATCGTATGAATCATCAATTTTAAACACAAACTTTATTAAAAATGTTACAAAGTGTGCTAAAATTATATTTAAAGTAAAATCTTTTTTAATTATAAAGCATTTAGTTTTATGAATTAGTCGATTTTTATTTTACAGTGCTTCAGATTCATCTGGGACGTTAATAGTGGAGTGCTGTCAATGATAAAAGTTGTCAGTATAGAAATTGTTTATCAGTAACAGCACAAACATCATCCTCTCGCTCTACCAGACATAAATTCTTCCTTTCATTGTTTACAAAACCATCAAAAGAAGAAAGTGTTTCATTAAAAAGAGTCTGTCTGGGAAGCGAGACGATGACAGTGGTGTCCAAATCAGCGACTAGCATGCCATGTACGTTTATTGTTTTTTTTATTTGTGGCAACACTAAGTAGGAGATCAAATGCCACGCGAACGATTGTTACTTGGCAACACAGATAAGTACCAATCGTCACATTCGGGAATATCTCCTACTGTGTTGTCACTACTCTGAAAATTGTTTAATTAAATTAATTTATTTTAATAAAATAAATAAAATGCAAGATATAAAAAAGAATAACTTAGGAGTATAGGTTTAAAAAGCTCTGCATTTAAAAATAGTGTTTCTATGCACAGTACATATGCATGCACACACATGTACATAGATATTTGCGTGTAGTTGTTTTTTTTACCCAAGTTCTTAGAAATTGTTCCAAAATTAGGGACATTTTTTTGTCACTTAATATCAAGATAAATATAAATAACTAAATACGCGATTATAAGACTCATTTGCCAATTAATTTCAACCTTTATTTACTCTTCGTGTTTATGGTTGCATTTACTTTAATTTGACTGTATTCGACTAAAACTGACAACATTAATTCGAACCATAATTGACACAAGTAAAACAATTTTAACTTTTAACCGTTATAAGAGAATTTGAGTCCGTTCGAGCTATTCATTTAAATGGTAATTTGTGTTTCAAGACCGTTTGATATTGTCGATTAATTTCTTTGGCTAATATACAACGATTCTTAACAACCCTTTTAAAATTACGTAATTCTATTCGCTGTGAGAGTATTTTATATTAAATTTATTCATAAAAATAGAGTAACTTTAGTTTGGTAATGAAAAATGATTATAATCTCAAGGCAATAGATTTTAAAATGTATATTCGTTTGTACAACACGTTCATTATTTTATGATTGCTCTGTACTAGACCAAGCTACAACAATATATGATTTGACTATAGTGAAAAATTACATGGCAAAACCGTTTTTTTATATAAGTTTTTAATTTCATAGTTAACTACCATATTTACGTTAAAGTGAAACTGTAGGTTATTAAACCGTATGATAACAAAAACAGTACTAAAAACTTATAAAGTCATAATCATAAATCTACAAGAGATACGATATAAAGAAGTGACGTCAAAATGACTCCAGAATAACAAGATAAATCCTTTGATAGTGAAGCCAAAACCGCCCTGGGCATTTACTACAGCAAAAGTGCTGTCATGTGCTCTCTATGTAGTATTCATGGACGTCGTGGATACGTGTCGTGTAACCACTCCGTTAGCTGGCGTCCCGCCAACAAATCCGTATTAACGTGACCGCACTTCACACTGTTCTGTAATAGTTTTAGGAACCCGTTGACATTTAAAATTTAGCGATTTGAGGGTATTTGAATTTTAATGTTGGCCGGTGGGTAGTTGGAACAATATAGCGTCGATATAACTTTTATGTCACAACTCTTAAAAAGACTTTTTTATAAATTAGCTGTAGTGGCTCTACTCGCTATAAAATTCAGGTGAATATTGCAGCAACTAATGGTGTCGATTATTTATTTTTCCATTAAATTATTGGATAAATTGAAAGCAATATTATTTCAGAATGCAAAGCTATATCGGGCAGCTTTTTTTTTAATTTTCAAACCTTTATAAACTTTATTTATACAGAACGTTTTTTTTTTAAACTTGAGATTCATAGTAACCGCTTTCTTGTAAACGTAAACATATTTTTAAATATGGTATTTTAGAAAAAAGGAAACGACAATTACCTACATTTTGATGTTTTTAACAAGTCTCCCTTAAAACGTAATATAACTAATAATATTTGTTGAATCATAATAAATTTTGTACCCCTTTTAACTTATTTTAATCTGGCTACTTTAATCCTTATTTCAAATTGAACGAATCAAAGACAACGCGTCAAATTGGTATCAAAATTGTATGTATACTTTTTTTTAACCGAGTTGCAGGACGGTGTACGCAGGAGTTTTAGGCTCGGCAAAAGACGGCAAACGCCAACGGTGGGACGATGGCACCAACATAGAACCCGGTAAGTGATTTAAAAGCTTTCATAATCGAATGTTGTGGGACCTTGTTGGCCAGCTGCCAATCCTTTGGCCAATGTTCTCCAAATGTATTGCCAATATTGTAAACTGTAGTTTCGTTGTTTTGGATTATAACACGCCATTCATCTATTGCAACGGGTTTTACTGAAAAGCTCTGGAATTTATTTAATAAATATATACTGGAAGTTTTGTCACCGTATTTTTATGTAATTTATAATCGGAAATACTAAATTAACTGATACGGCTAAGACAGCTGTGTTTTAAAAATTTCAGGTGTAATTTGAATTGATGTCGGGGCACCAGGGACTTCCTTTCTAGGGTATACCTGGTTCCCCGGCTATTAGTGCCCGAGACGGAGTGCGGTTTTAGTCGGTTCGAGTCCGACATGCCACCGATAGGTGGTCTCCGCGGGGATTTCCGCATGGAAAAAAAAGGTGTAATTTGAATTGCAACCAAGCCTTGTAAGATAGAACTTTAGTTTTACTAAATAGTTTCTAATTATTCATTACTTTTAGCGTCTATAATAGAATAACTGCTGGCTCTCAATATAATTATTTGAAGTAAAGGGAAAGAAGTTTTACGTTGTAATGACGTGTGTGTAATAAAAAATGACGTAACAATTTCACATTGGATATAATAACAGATTGTTAAACGTATAAAACTAAAAATGTGTTACATTACATAGTTTTTTTTTCGTAAGGGAATAAGAAATTTGGAAGTAAGTAAGTAAAGAAAATAACACAAATACATAATCCAATCATCATCAATAGCCTTTAATAGTCCACTGCTGGACATAGGCCTCTTCGAAGAAGGAGGTTTTGATCTACTATACTACGCTGGTCAGACGGATTAGTATAGGGTATAACCAATGCAAAATAAATATTATTACTAAAACACGTAAGCACATTTTAGAAAGAAAGATAAAGTTAACTTTTCATTTACTGTAAGCTTTTCAAAGCTAAAAGTGGCTGTCATTTATTTTGCCTTAGTAGCAGTATATACATTGGATATAAAATCTGGTTTATGCGAAGCACTTACTGTCAAGACAAAATGTTTTGTAAGAAGTGAATTGTAATAAGACACAGATTTGCGTAAATATGTTAATAATTTTACTGAATACTTACACAAGTACACTCAATTTTTTGCGGTGAATGTTGTAAGATATTTTTAGAGATTATTTTTTTCTTATTTCAATCAGCCATTGACGCGAAAATAGTTCGATATTACTGATTTTTTATCTTGAGAACATTATAGCTCGTGTCAGCGTGTTTCTTAATTAAACTCTTTTGTTTTAAGCACAACAAAACTTTTTACGAAATTTGCTAATAAATAAAAGTCAGATTTAGTTACAATATTGATTATCCTTCTACTTAGCAATATAAGTAAAAATTACAGGCTAACCTGTATAGTTTATCGACTGTATTGTACTTTTCCTTACTAAATCCAAATATTGAAAATACTAATCTTTGATACAACTATTTGTGGAACACACAAATTATTATCCGGTGTTGGAATCCATCCCTCAACACTCGAAGCGGCTTAGAGGAAAGGCGTTCGTTATTACGATTTACTTATACCCTCCTATTTTTAAATTTTTTTATAACTTCGAAAAATTTATCTTGCTAAACATACATACTTTCATGCACTTTCTGACGCTGTAACATTGCTAAGCATAATAATATTTATCCCCCGCACATATTAACATCTACGACCTTATTCACTCTTTATAATAACTTATTTTTATCATTTTAACAAAATAAACTCAGACAGAAAAACAAAAACTATCTAGTAGGAACATTAGTAATATTACTGGCTAAACAACGACGGTAAAACTTTACATATAACATAGTATAACTTTGAAATACTTACCAGGTTTTATTAGTAAATTAACAAACATATCAAAAAACCAGAGACAAACAAATAAGTATTCGTACAGAAGCAATAGTTTACTGGCAAACATCCAAGGACATTGTAAACATAGTCCTTTCTGCAATTTAAATCTGTTTTTCGTTGTTTGGTTCCAAAAGCATAAAGTCTTTATATTCGGTCAACCACCTATGATAGCGATAAAGGCGTCAATACTCTACGAAAATTCTGCAAGCTCTGCATGATTGCAAACCGCCCGTTCTTAAATTCGGATTTTTAATTATCACTTTAAAATCTTTAGATAGTACGTTTTGTTAGATTAATGAGAGTAAACCGAAATTTAATGGTATTTTAACGTAATTACAAAGTTAATGCAATTTGGTCATTTAATATAAACTGTAAATGTTATCATTAAGTTTTATATTTAATGTCAATGACCCATCTTTTTGGAATAATAAAATAAATAACATTAACAAAATCAAATGAACTTGTTCGTGCATCTTCGTCACGCATCGGCAGCTGGCCGTCGGGTGCGTGGGAGATCGGCCCTCGCCAGTGCGTCGGCACTACGCTACCGGACACGTTACATAGCACACCAGTATTGTCGTTCCGAAATTTGATGTATTTATTTTGTTAGCCACAATATACCACTTGTTATACAGTCCACTGCATATTATTAACGGCTGACCTATCAACAAACTAGCATTATTGTAACTTTAATCAATAAATTTCAAACACTTCTTAATATCGGACTCAATTTTATTTACTTATTTATTTACACTACTTGCATTACGACTTGCACGAAGCGGACTTGGTTAGTAAAAATCAATAGACACATTAAGAAACCAACTAAAGAATACCTATTCTCAGTTTGTAAAATATTCATTCTAGTAGACTTAAAAGTGATACATGAAATGTAAAGAATAAAACAGCTGCACCGTAAACATCCTATCTTGTCGATAATATCGTACATTCCACGGCGTCGTTAAACTACACTAGTCAGGAAGCTACCGCTTATCCATGTGTGTTCGTAAAAGTTATCAGGTTAAGATATATATGACGATTAACAACTGGCGTCCGGCCAGGTAAATGGCGATAAACATTATACATGCTTTTCATTAAATCCTGAGACACTTGCTTTTATATCATTCGCTTAACACTGCAATGAATAAAACTTTTTGGCGTCCCGCCAGATGGCGATACCGTCACTTTACACGAACATCTATTTGCTGAGAAAATTTAACTTTAATGACGTTTGAACGAGGCGACTGCATCTGAATTTAAGAATAAATTGTATGATCATATTACTGTTGCGACTTCGTAAATTTCAAAATGCAGAGTATTTTTCGTGTAGTGGGCAAGAATTATTTAAAACAGATGTCATGGCTTTAAACTTAACCGTTTCTGAATGTTTTACTAAATTAGAAATACAGAGCTCATAATGTTTCCCCACTGTGCTATTATAATTAAAATCCTCTGGTTTTGAAATGTGAAATGGTTTCATGAAATATTTCTTCCTCTTGGGCGTCGCGTTGAGATAAACGTTCATTACATTGATATTTATTTTATGTTCGTGTAATTTACTGAGTTAGATGTTACCCTTCGACCCTGGTAATTAGAAGCAATTGAAAATAATTTGGGGAAACTTAATTAATAATTAAAACTAGGTGGAGACTGAAAGGAAAAATTATTTAGTAATTATAACCGTTAATTCACTATTTAAATAAGAGTTTTGCAACTGCGGTAGAATTGTTGATACAGAATTTTTTTTTACTTGAGCAACTTTTTAAAAGAATATAGAATAACATTAGGCTTGAGTAAATTAAGTTAAAAAATACGAGTATACTGAGACGGGAATATAATCATCCCATTAAACCGATCGTTATGATAATAAAAGGGTTGGCTTTTATCCGGAAATTTTATCATATTTCAAGGAAGTTAAACGTATCTGTATAAGGCAGAATTTAAGTTGAATTTTTTTTAACAGAAGTATTTTGTTATAGGTACTGTTGAATATTCACGATATTAATTTCTAAGGTGATTGCTATAAATTGTTTTTTTTTTAGAGATATCTATGATCAATAAATACTTTTCTTCGTTTTGAAATGCTCTGCCAAAAAATATAATCTGTAAAAATTAGCAAACTATAAATACACAAAATATTTCCTAAAACCTGAAAAAAAATTAGATTATTTAGTAAATAAAAATCGATTGCTTTTTTTTTCAAATAAATTAAACTTCATACCCAACGTCGTCGTTCTCACCTATTGTACATGAGCACGTCTGGCTTCCATAGTTTGTTGGGGGTAATCCTGAGGTCCTTGACTCCCCCGTACTCGCTGTCGTTCCACCTGAGGTTGTAGTCATTCCACTCCTGCCACATTTAACAAAACCATCAGAGACATCATCGTAGACACAGCCGCGAGCAAATTAAGTGGAGCATTTTTGATTAAAGGAAGAATTTTTGTTTTAGGTAAACATTGCAAAAAGTGCTAGACGCCTTAAATGTTGAAGCCCAACTTTTAAGTGTCAACAAAGGATAAAGTGCTGTGCGGTGAATAATAAAATAGGATATATAATTCGATAGTTTTATTTACAAGTTTAAAAGAATAATAAGCAAATTAAACATCAGCATTTTTGTTGTCAGTATTAAATGCCGAAAGGTCTTCAAATAAACCATTTAATTCTAAAATTAAATGGTCACAACTACAACAATGTCAACATTCAGAGACAACGTATTCGCATTTCCATGTGACGTCAAAGAATGGAATTTAAAAATGTCAAACACGAACATGAATATACCAAAAATATTCCAGTCATTTGCTCGCGAACACTCGGGACGGTATGACGTTTTCGGCCAATCTCAACGATGAATTTAAGACCTTTAATAATATTTTTTTACGTAGTTACCAGACACCCTACTCAAGTGAACAAAGGTTTCATTTCCTGAGGATAAGCTAATTTTTCGATCGTTTGAAAAATCTGCTGATTTTGAACAGTATGCTCATGGGTTTTTTTGATTTTTGTTCTTTTGATTTTAATACAAAGTCGCAGTACATTGAAAGTAACCTTACACACAATAGCAACACCAGTATTAGTCTAGATCTATATCTACCAAAAATATATATACCATACATACTAACTTATGGACTTACGTACACTGAGTCTATCAGTATCTTGTACGGAACAATATATACACTAGGAATTGTTATAAGAGTATATTACATACTGCAGAAATAAATTCATAAGAATAAAAATGTTTATAAAATGAAAACTACTGGGCCTAACTATGTTAAATTTTTATGGGACCAAATGGCAACTATTCCGCATCAAACTAAAGCAGAATCACGTAAATCGGATCATAAATCTCAGAGTAATCGGTGTAGATACATAAAATAAAAAAATACCAATAGAATTGAGAACCTCCTCCTTTTTGAAGTCGGTTAAAAATCCACTCGCTTTGAAAATAAGTCGATTCTTTTTGTTTGAAAGTCATTTTTTTTAATTATTTTTAAGAGTAAAAGCCATATTATTTATTTCTTACATAGAAACTTTCTCATGCCCAAGTACCACGAATCCTATTCAACAATAGTTTGGCTTAATAAACTGAATGTCGGCTGCAGTGAGGATTCTACTTTAGGTGATAATTTTAGAAGAGCCACGTGTGCAAAACGTTTTAACTTTAGTTAAAAGCGCTTTGTTTAATTACATGAAAAGTTCTCAGAGTGAAAAGTGCAGCGTGGAACTACAGTGTACTATATATACAGAACACCTAATCAAAGTGACAGAGGTGTTAGATAAACCGTGTCGTAATAACGCTCGCTGTGAAAGCTTGATGGAGAAGCCAGCTGTGGATGTGTCTTGATAAACAGGGTATCACATGAAAACCCAATGGTATAATAATATTAATATTTTTATTTTTTTTAAACACGCTGCTATAGTAAATATAAAGAACTCCGAAACAAATATTTGCAGATCATTCAAACATTTGGCCCGACCTGGGAATCGAACCCGAGACCTCAGCACAGCTATCACATACCCTACCACTTCACCACCGAGGCAATCAATCGCTATAAGTTAACCTTTAAAATTTCCGGATTCCATGACAATATAATTACTTAAAAGCCAGCCCGTGAACACGACAAACGGGTATGTAAAATCTGTTAAATACGTGATCACTTAATTACTTTATTAGTTTTTGAATATTTGTATTATAAAATTAAACTGTAATATAAATTGTAAAAGGGGTATTGTATTTCGATTGTTTTCGAGGATTTCTTCCCATGGTATATTACTTACAAAAGGTAACAATTACAGAAGAATTCGAGCTAGTATTCTACAATAATAAAGAAATATTAAATACTAATAAAGACAATGAAGAGAACTGATTTTATTAATGTTTTATTCTACCTAGTACCAATATTGACTAATACAATTTCGCCTCACATTAATAACTGTCTTTATTCTTATAACTCTAAAAGCCTCCACGAAAAATATAAAACGAAATTAAAAGTAATTTCCCTTTTACGGTTTTATGAAATATATTTTTTAATCAAAACTCATGGTAGTGCTTGTCTGAGTGGATTTTGTGTAATAAAGTAAAGCTAACAACTTCAAGACAACATTTTTAATATTAAAATAATAAGGATTGTTTTTATTAGTTCACATCTAAATGTTTTTTTCTGTATTTTGACTTCGGTAAGAATTAAGAAAAAGGAAATTGTAAGCTTTTTGTTTGAACAATCCATTATATGTAAAACCCAAAAGTATACTCCACAGTAAAATATTTCTATACAACGGATACATCTAAAAGCACTCTCTGTCAATTTTATTTTTTATAAATTCTCGTTTCTGGTCTGGATACAATTTGATTTTATAAGAACAAGTTGAAATCGGCCGCAAACGTAACACGAAAAAAGGACATAGTGTTTCTGTATTGTATAACAATGAAAACAACGATCGACTGTATTGGAAATCACGGCGTACCTGATAAAATTTTCACGCACAACGTATCCAATTTAGCCGAAAACCTTTCCGAATTCCGTATTGAAACCTTGAAATTCATAAAGCAAATAAAAACAAAAAAGCTAACTGAACATGATTTCCAATATCGTTGCTCGAAGTGAACTCTCCCACACCGCCTTTTTATATCATTTGAGAGAGATAACGTTTAGATACGAAACAAGACTTGCCCTTTGAAACAACGCCCTCTCTACTTTTATTACAAAAGTTAGACTAACAAGTTCTACCTTCAAACTAATATTTACGTATGTTATAGCAAACTGCTCGATACAAGGCACTACTCACAAATAGTTTTATTACACTAATATTACATTATATTTTTGTATGTAATTTGTCTCAAAGAGTAGTTAGAAAAAGAAAAACAAATTTTCAAGAGAATTCTATGACTCTTCAAATGAAAAAGTGAATCTGCTTGAGCCTTAAAAGGCTTATCGAATTTACCCTGCAGTGGTTTGATAGCCAGTGTGGGAGCGAGATGGTTATATGACGAGTGCTCTCTCTTGAAGGGTTCTTTTCAATTAAATAGTTTAACGGCTTTATTGTTTTAGAACATGTTGTATGTGGGACGATTACTCGTAAAGTTTTGGGCAGCTTAAGTGCTTAAATGAAATACATTGTTTCACTATAGTGGGTTAATTTACCTCAGTTTCCTTAATATTACGTACTTCATTATAGTCAATAAAATACTTGAGATTAATTTCAACAACACAATAGATTGGTTTAAAACCAAATGCTGAAATTAAATGCTCTTGATTTTTTTAATCCTAATTAGAGGAAATTTATATCTAATAGTGATTCTAACTTGACATTTATCCCAAACTAAGCAAAGCTTGTACTGTAGTAGCCAGACTGCTGATAAACATACTGAGATCATTACTAAATACATAAATATTATATATAAATAACACCTAGACACAAAGTAAATGTGCTCATCATAGTCTGTCCTAGCAGGGAATCGAACCCATGGGTTTCTTGCTCATCATGTACCCCTGGTTAAGTGGTTAAGATCACTAACGACTAAATCAAAAGGTCTAAAGGCCCAAAAAATTAATACCGGATCTGTCAAATACATATTATAGACCTGTACAAAATGATTGCTTCCTTTCTGTTACTCTATACACGTTCCGTCTACTGAATATTCTGGAATATTCAACATAAACAAACGCAACACTCAGCTGTCTTGTCCCAAGGCACTACAATAGTGGGATTTGATTCCACATTTCAAATTTATGAGCCGTTTCACATGCGTATTTCCTGAATTCGAGGCTTTGTGGAATTGATTTAACTCGTTCTAGATATAAAATAAACCTTACCAGGGAAATAATTTATGTACTTTTCATTTACTTCCAAATCATTTTCTACAATATATTTTTTTATTTATTGTGTCGTTACTAAGCGTACTGTTTTATTTGTGTTTACAATTTTCATGCCTGTCCTGAGAGTTATGCAAATTGACAAAACATCAACAACAAAAGACTTTTTTTCAACGACTTTTAAGTTGAAATATTGAGTAACGCTTTGATCCAATCTATCTATCAAAAAATCCATCTAAGCTTTTAAAGTTATCACTTCAAATTATTATTTTTAAATATATTCAACGGTTCTGAAACAGTTTTAATAAATCAACTTTCAGATAAACTTTCAAGAGAGAGCACTAACTTTTAAATTTGTAAAATAAAATATAGTAACTTAATAAATGGTCGTTATATTTAAGAACTTTGAAATTGAAACTTTATTTCCAAGTTCTTTAAGATGAATTTGTGGTGTAGGTATAGGGTAATGTACAATGAACTAGGATAGAAATATTAAAGTAAATATCACAAAGAAAGATACATTCATTGAAAAAACTACTTGAGTTAATTGTACATTTGCATATAGAATTATCATTATCAATCGAAAATTATACACATCACAAACACGATACACAAGATAAAACAACAGTATAATATTGGAAGATAAGGGAATATTTCGATACTAAAGACGTTTAAAAAAGCCAGAAGTAACATGCACCTAGAACACACATGCATAGAGTTTTTAAGTTACGTATAAAATTATTTAATAGTATGTACACAGCATATATTTTTGTACCTACTTTAAGCTCAAATTTTCATCACAGTACAGTACATTTTTTTTCTAATTTTATTAAGGCCACTTTCAAACACCTTTTTTTTCAACAACAAGACCAAGGGATTAGGGGACACTACTCTTTCTGAAACTAAGCTGCCGTATTGGTAAATGCTAAAATTATTATTTATTAGTTGCTCATAACATACTTTTATTGCTGGAATATTATTGATATATTTTGTATACCCTACGTCAATATTACGAAATAAACATAATGCAAAGTTACGACCAACATTA